TATATATATATATATATATAGATATATTTATATATACATATAGTGCATATATGTATGTATATTATCGCGTTATCTATAATACCGGATACGCAAGGGACTTTGCAAACCTTCTTCGCAAATGGTCAGCGATGTCACAAACGACAGAATACCTTTTGCAGTCTTCCCAGTTGTCAGCGAGTAGTACACTTGTAAGTAGCTAGTAGCTACTAGTGCTACTTCCTCAGCCTGATTGTGCATGTACGTGTGTGTGATAGCGCGCGCGCGCGCCATCGACCGAGGAGGAGGAGGAGGAGGAGGAGGAGGAGCGCGTGCACGGAATGCCTTGAATCTTTCGAGATCAAAGTGTCGGCAAAAAGAGAGAGAGAAAGAGAAATAGAATGCGTTGTGGCAGTTCATTGTAAACAAGACTGAGAGAAAACGAAGAATAAACGAATGATCGATTATATATTCTCTTTTGGAATATTCGTGAAATTCTTCCCTTAATCGTTTAATTGAAATGCGAATGTTAGATGAGTTTTGAAGACTGAGGAATTTTTGGGAAACTTCCCTTTCATCATCCATTCGGTAAGTATGATCTAATATTTTCGATTAATCGATGAAAGAATGCTTAGGAAGGCGTCTCTCTATTCATTTTCAAGTCCTACGGGCATTCACGATTCCAACATGGCCGCTGGGACCAGCCGTGACCGCTGGGCCCCCGCGGAAGCCATGTTAGCAGGTGTGCTCGGTTCGAGATAACCAGTTCACGTTCGTGAAACGCGTGCTGGCCCGTGGATATCAACGATCGCCGTTTCGAGATTGCTTAGAAGAGAATATATCTATCTAGTCGAGACGAGGCTACGATAATTCGTGCTCGTGTTGCCTTCCTAATATGATTCTTTCTAAGAATATTACGAATCTTATAATCGTTTAAGATATAATCTATTATGACCGTACCGAATATCGACGACCGTGATCTTTTCATGATGATTTTTTAGGAATATCCGATATGCCGACGGATCTAGTCGTGACGCCGGCTTCGGCCACGGCTTCCGAAGAATCCAGCAGAGGTCGTGACCTGCCACTTGGTCCGTCCTCACGATCCGCATCATCATCTTCAGGGACATCGTCCTCAGCATCTTCCGGACAATCGTCTTCCTCCAGAGGATTCGATCCTTCTAGTGCTCTCGCGGCTTATCATCAACATCGACATGGATTGGTGACTGGGCTGGGCCATCCTCATCATCGCGAATCATCTGCATTCGTACCCGTCGTACCTTCCAGATTGCATCTCGCACCTTATCCCGGCGAGATGCATCCTCATCTTCCCGGATTACCACCTTCCTCCTCTAACAACGGAAATTCGGACCACGAAGTTGGTCCCGAACAATCCGTGGCAAGAAAAGGATCGTCTAGTTACGAGATAATGGCTATGATGGCTGATAAAAGAAAAGAATTAGCAGCGAGAGCTCTACTTCTCCCACCCCCACCTCTTTTAGAACCACCACCCGGATACCCAGTTTTTGCAGGCCCTTTCCCTGGTAGTTCCGCTCTTTATCCTCCTGGTGGACCATTGGCTCATCAGCATCTCGATCGAAGATTATTGAGAGCTCCTGGCAGAGCATCCAGACCTAAAAAGCAATTCATATGTAAATTTTGTAACCGCCAGTTTACGAAATCCTACAATCTTCTTATTCACGAAAGGACGCACACGGACGAGAGACCGTATTCGTGCGATATTTGTGGTAAAGCTTTCAGACGACAGGACCATCTTCGAGATCACAGGTAAATTAATAGATATTATTTTTAAATATAATATATAATGATCAATTAAATATATACAATTTGATATTATTACGAAATATCGATCATTGTAGGTATATCCATAGCAAAGAAAAACCATTCAAATGTGGCGAGTGTGGAAAAGGTTTTTGTCAAAGTCGTACTTTGGCCGTGCACAAAATTCTTCACATGGAAGAATCGCCACACAAATGTCCTGTATGTGCGAGAAGTTTCAATCAACGCAGTAATTTAAAGACTCATTTATTGACGCATACAGATCACAAACCGTACGAATGTACGTCCTGCGGAAAAGTTTTCCGTAGAAATTGTGACCTAAGGAGGCATGCACTGACTCATGCAGTCGGTGACGTTCCTCCTGAAGCCTTGGAAGAGGCACTTAGGGATGACGATAGTCCTGAAGAAGATTGTGGTCCAGAATCAGGCTCGTCTTTGCCATCGTCGTCTTCTTCAACGACGAGTTCATCGTTGGCAAGTACATCTGGAAATACTTCTGGTTATCAAAGTCAGACCCAATCGATACCAGGTCCAGCAGCGGCAGCAGCTGCAGCTGCAGCAGCAGTAGCAGCAGCAGCAGCAGGTCCACCACCACCACCTCCACCATTACCACCACCGCAACCTCCAGCATCAACGTCGTCAGCACCTGTATCTGCAGCAACATCAGCACCAGTTCCATCGACAACATCAACACCAACTCCAGTGCCAGCACCTCCGCATCGACAAAGGCCACAATTACAGATCAGAAGAGATCTCTTACCTTCAACGATAAAACCTTCAACGATAACAAGCGGTAGTTCGACTCATCCGAACACGCACAATCCTCCAGCAGCATTGCCACCGCCACCTCCTCTGATACTCTCGTCGTATCGTAGAAGACTCGGTTCACCAGGTCCATCGAGAGTTTTCTTAGAACTTCAGGAACGAGAACGCGAAAGAGAACGAGAAATCAAACAAAACAGAGATAGAGATCATGAAAGAGAACGCGAAGAGGAAATTGAAAGGCCACCAAGAGCACCCACTCCTCAGCCACCTCCACCACCTAGGCCTGCACCCACGAGACAAGGATTTACTATTGCCGATATCATGCGTCGGTAGATATCCAATTTGTCAAACGTTTTTCAACGAAGAAAAACAACGTATCTCGAACGTAATCGAAGATCAAACAATTTTCTACTTCCTACGTCTTCCGTACTTTACTTAGATTTTCAAACTGTACATACAGATATCAAACGTGTTACTTTGAGAAACACGTGCAACTTTAACGATCATTATTATAATCATTATGTGCCAGCGAAGTAATAACTCTAGTCGCGGTGCTATTACAATCTGAATTTTTTTTGTTTTTTTTTCAGCATCATTTGAAAAGATGTATAAAGAAAAGAACGAACAAAAAGTGTTTACGTAGCCGTGCCTTCTTACGTAAATCAAACTTCGTTTATGAATAAGAAAAAAATATATTCGAGATATTCGAAAAAATGCCAATTTTTAGAATGTAAATTGGACGATAAGAAGTGAAATTATTATCGAAATGTTACGAAAATGTGCCTTTTTTCTTTTTTATTCTAGTGTATCACATGTCAATTATATTTAACGCAAATCGATTAAATATTTGGAATGAAAATTTATGATAGAAGAGATACTTCAAGAATCTAATAATAAATAGTGATGAGATATTTAAATAAGAGAAAAAGAAAAATACAAAGAAAAGAGGAAGAAGAAGAAGAAGAAGAATACAATAAAAAAAATTAAAAAATATAACAATGAAAAGACAATAAGCCAAAGTGCTTTGTCTTTGTCGTAAATTCTGAAGAAGGGTTAATGCAAATTTGGTGGTCACGGTGTAGCCAGTGCCACTGCTGCCACTATTGCCACGGTGGCAGCAGGTGCATTACGGTGTCGAAACTACTTTAATCCCACTTTTAGTACTACCTGCTCCTGCCCCCATCTAAAAATATTCCGACCCTCGAAGAATGTTGCTTTTTTTTTTCTCCTTTACTTTTGAGGGAAAGAGAGAGAGAGAGAAAGAAAGAGGAACTATTAAGGGTCCTTTTGTGTTCGACCACAAAAAGGATCCTTCTGTAGTCTGTGTTATGCGACCGACCAAAACTACATTTTCTTCTCGATAAAATCCCGTCAAAATTCTAGGATGACAAAGAGAATTATTCCTTTTTCTTTTTCTTTTTTCCTTTCCCCCCCTCCCCACCCCCCTTTTTGTTTTGTTCTTTATTCTTTTCTTCTTTATCTCGGATAAGCGTATTTGTATGTTTAACGAAACTCCGAAAAATTAGGGATGATAATTTGTGAGAAAAAAAAATGTCGAATTTAAGATGTACGCGCGAAAAAAGTATCAGTACTTTATTAAAAATCATTTTATGCGAAGTAAGTAAAACGAATGACGGATCAACAATGGATCGAAAGTTATTACAATGTTTTACTATTATTGATTACGTTCAACTAAACAAATGGGAATATAATTTTTGAGCTGTTTTACATTCCACAGATAAGTGGCGATTAAAGTGAAAAATTGTTTTACAAAAAAATCTTATGACACAAAAAAATGTATAGTGATATATTTACAATGTACAATATACTACGTACAATGGCAACCGTCCAAGTGATTCACATAAAATTAGCACAAAAACGAGCTAAATTTCCTGTTATTTTATACGTTTTCTGTTTATGCTAAACATAAATATATCTATATTTTTAGATTTATACGAGCGTTAAGTAAGTTTGTAAATTATATATTAAGGACAGATGAAAAATAAAAAAAATGATACTACATAAATGCAGATCTAAAAAAAAAACATTAAAAAGAGCAACAGCATAAGTTGCCAAATTTCTCTTTACCTTATATACCTATATACTCCTATATGTATTATAATTTACATTATAATTAATAATTAATCATTTAGAAGCATTTTTTAAACTACGATACTTTTATTCTTTTGAATAATTAATTGTCGAATAGATTTAAAAGTTATCACTAGGTTTTGATTAATACAGCAGAAAAGTAATGTATTATCCTGCATGATATTGCACAAGATGCAATGAATGCATCTAGTGCAAACTCTTTTACAGATCTCGACTGCAATTTGGCAAGAATTAAAAAAAAATCCTAAATACATGAAAGTTATTTAAAAAAGATCCTTTAACTTGTATTAGAATTATTTCTTCTGTGAAATAATATAAAATAAAAATTACATTAAAACAATTCCTGTTTGTACGGTATGGTACCTGTAAAAATATACAAATTATTAAAAAAACATTATAAAGTAATTAGTTTCTGTATATAAAACAGATAAAATGGAATCAAGGAAAGGAATAGAAAAATATGACATTAATTATGAAGTTAAAAGAAACTAATTACAATTATAATGTTTATGGGTAAGCGGTCTTTGGCTGGATTTTACTTGCAATGGAATGTATAGCATATAAAAATATGTTAAACATTACATGGAAAGTAAAACACCATTGCCCGGGTCTAACCACGAGGAGGTAACCGCTTCTGAAGACCCACGAGGGATGTGCATCCTAAAGATGTCCCCATCCGAATTAAATTGAAACCAAAGAAAATGATCACCCCGAGAACGTTTTTTTATAGAGCCCCACTCTTAGGCTCCACCCTAAGAGTTGTATTCGGAAAATCCTTACAATTACCATCGAGAATGAAGAAAAACGTTTGAATACCAAATAACAAAATGATAAACGAGGGATGAAACATGAATAGAATCGAAAAAACATGAATAGAATCGAAAAAACATGAATAGAATCGAAAAAACATGAATAGAATCGAAAAAACATGAAACCTATGAAGAAATAAAATACATTAAAAATACATTAAAAATACATAAAAAATAATTATTACACGCGTGCGATGCTACAGAGAGAAGAATAAACAGACCAAAATTATACATTTAATTATAAAAATAATTAACTTAAATACTATACTTTACTATAACTAAGTCCTCTTCTGGTCCTCGTCTGGTCCTTGTCTGGTCCTCCTCCTATTGAAACTGCAACAACAAAAAACACAGGAGAAGGAAAGAAGAAGCAAAGTGGACCCGAAAACGAACTTGAAAATAAAACGAAAAGATTATTTTAGATTTTCAAAGATGCAATGAATGAACCATGGTACCTGTAAAAACATGAAAGTGCATTAACAATGATTTATCGCACGAGTGCAATGCAATATTAAAGTAATAAACATATTAAAATACTACCGCTTACCATAAATCCACTTCCGATCCCCCTTTCACCTCTTCTTGAAAAAAATTTTGGATCGTCTTCATAAATCATCCTGCTAACAAAATATTAAAACTAGGATAGTTTGGTGTGGAAGAAGGGTTGGGGAATTCTAGGTAAGGATATGATTTTTCTCAATCAATGGAAAAAGGAGAAAATCATGGCTCGCATGGGCAGGGKCGCATCCCTGAAGTAGACCTTTCTTCGCAAAGAAAGAATCTACTCGCTACCCCTTAGAAAAAAAAAACAGGAAACGAACCTGAAAAAGAAAAAAGAAAGATTAGTTTAGATTTGTAAAGATCCAATGAATGTGCATCGAAAGCATGTTCCTTTTTTAGATCAAAATCCAATACTTACAAATGCGTTGGAATTAAACATATCCTGAAACAAAATAAAATGAAAATTAAGTTTCAACGATGATAGATTAAATTTTACTACCATTGATAGCTAGAAAAATATAAGAAATATTAAAAAACATTATAACATAATTAGTTTCTACGAATGAAATGAAAAATAAAAAGATGAACGCGTGGGTGATATGAAATTAGAAAATGATATGATATTGGAGCGGGAATTCGGGTATGGTATTGTACTCTATCATGATTTTTAAGTATTTTTTCTGTCTTTTTAATAAAGTATCATTTAAAATGAAATTTTGTTAATACTCGATTTATTTTTAGGAAAAATTATGTTCGATGTGTGGTGGGTGGTACGGCAAATCCCACGATGGTAACCTGAAACATTCAGCAAACTATGTTAGTTACTTCCATTCTTAAAAAACCACTATAAATTATTGACGAGCAAAGAAAAATCAAGCAATAAATAATGACCAACGAGCTATTCTCAAAAGATTCAACCATGCT